AAAATTCCGGGAACATTTAAGTTTCCTGCATCAATACATTAGTTTCTAATTTAATGAAACTTTGCATTACTTACGAATTTTCTTCCATTTTCTGTAATTTTTATACAACTTAACTTCAAATTGAACTTTGCAAATTAAAAAAAAAATGTTTTGAATAATTTTTGTATTTGGTCATAAAACAGCTGATCCAAAAAATGGCAGAGTTTGCAAAATCGTACTGCATAAAATTCTTTCAGGAAACTCCTGTAAGTTTTTTGTTGTTGAACTGTCAAACTTCCTCTCTCACTTGACTCTCTTTTACTGGATTTTTGGGTAAACATTTAGTAACATGTGGTAAGAATTGTCGAGTAAACAGACAGAGCTATTATTCCTGCCAGCTCCTCAAAATCAATGTCGGCACCGTCGCGATTTTTCAAACCAAATGCTCTGCCTTCCACATTAAGATTCAGCTTGTTTACAACTAACATTGAAAAACATTAATTAGCAAAGTATTTCATTGGTAAACGCTTGTAGGCATTTCTCACTTGAAAGAAGTATTCCTTTCGGAGTGAAATCCTCACTTTCTGGATCAGAAATCATAATTATGTAAAATTTTCCACCACTTTTAACTTTCACGAACATTGCATTGCTTTTTCATGAGAGAGATGCTACTTAACACCTGTTTTCAATGCCTTACAAGGTGTTGTTTTTAAACTTTAAGGAATACAATTTTTCTATGTAAATAAAACAAGAGAACTCATGAGAGAGAGACACAACTGTTGGTGTTGTTTTTAAACTTTAAGGAATAACATTTTTCTATGGGAGAAATTTAATTTTTTTTGTGTTAAAATTAAACTTAAAGTATCAGACTAAAGAGAAACAAATTTCTAATTCCTTTTGTGGCGTTATATTTAAACCAAATGGAATTGTTTTTTCTTTTATAGAAATAGTTAAATCAAATTTTGGTGTTATTTTTATATCCAGTAAGCATTAAAAAACTCTAAAATTTCTCATGATGTTAAAACAATTCCCTGAAGTATTTAAATATGTTCCATATGGTTTAAAAAATAAAATATTTTGGAATTAATTTTAAGTTTAATTCCAAAGAAGTTTAAATTTAACTCCGCTAAGTTTAAAAATTAATTATTATATAAGTTGGTTTACATATGTCAAGGTTAAAATGACTTGGACAATGATAATTTTCACTTTTGTGCACCAGATTTATTATTACAATTTAATGTATTCAAAAACGCATCTATTTCGAAAAATGTTACAAAGAAAAATATGTATATCGGAGTTATCGTTGACAATTGAGGCCTCACTGTTATACTACAACTTTTCACACAACTTACTATAAATTCCGCCAACAAATACAATGTTAACAAGGGCTGCAGGCTAACTATTTAATTTCGGTAACATCCCTGTGTTCCTTATGTACGCATATACATACATACAGACAATAAATGCACATCATAGTAGAACTAAACAACTACCAAAAATGATCATTAAGAAGATCGTTGTTGGGCAACTATAAGGCTTGACATGCATTTCCCCGACCAAAAAGTTTTAGTTGTTTTTAATACTTCGTTCGGAATACACCGGTTATTTTTGTAGAGAAAAAAAAAACGCGTACGAAATGACCAATAAAGGTTGCAATATCAAGTCGGAAACTATTTTATGGTATTGGATATTTGCACAGTGTTTGCTGTGTCAGGTTTATAGTGATGGATTGATTGCCGTTTTCGAATGGAAACAAATGGACTTTTATAACCGTGGGCATGACCTGTTGATAGCCAATCAAACGCAACCGCAAGCAAATGCTTCAAGCCGGGGTAATTATGGATTAAAAAAAAAAAAAAACATTTCTGAACCTGATTGTTTACTCAGAGTACAGCCATTATTAAACAAATTCCAAATTATTATTATTACAATTTAATGTATTCAAAAGCGCATCTATTTCGAAAAATGTTACAAAGAAAAATGTGTATATCGGAGTCATCATTGACAATTGAGGCCTCACTGTTATAGTACAACTTACTATAAATTCCGCCAACAAATACAATGTTAACAAGGGCTGCAGGCTAACTATTTAATCTCGGTAACATCCCTGTGTTCCTTATGTACGCATATACATACATACAGACAATAAATACACATCATAGTAGAACTAAACAACTACTAAAAATGATCATTAAGAAGATCGTTGTTGGGCAACTATAAGGCTTGACATGCATTTCCACGACCAAAAAGTTTTAGTTGTTTTTAATACTTCGTTCGGAATACACCGGTTATTTTTGTAGAGAAAAAAACGCGTACGAAATGACCAATAAAGGTTGCAATATCAAGTCGGAAACTATTTTATGGTATTGGATATTTGCACAGTGTTTGCTGTGTCAGGTTTATAGTGATGGATTGATTGCCGTTTTCGAATGGAAACAAATGGACTTTTATAACCGTGGGCATGACCTGTTGATAGCCAATCAAACGCAACCGCAAGCAAATGCTTCAAGCCGGGGTAATTATGGATTAAAAAAAAAACATTTCTGAACCTGATTATTTACTCAGAGTACAGCCATTATTAAACAAATTCCAAATTATTATACCCTCCACCTTGGGTGAAGTGTTTATTATACTTGGCATTGGGTTTGCAACAACTCCAAATATTCGTCGTATTCATTCTTGGTCTGAACAAATTATATGTTAAATTATATTAGGTACACCTGTTCAAATCACAATATCCCAATACTTAAGATAAGGCTTTGAAATTATTTTGAGTAAGGTGGTGAAGCATGCTCTGGCTTGTGTTAGCGTTCCTTTTTTTATTATACACTCTCCGCTACTTCCTTAATAATATGTTGGAATTGAGATAATAGCTTGTAGCTTGTGTTATTTTTACGCTTTCCAGACCAAATTAAAAGCTTTACTAATTATTTTGCCAGTTGAAAATTGATGGGTTTCTACTGCTGTGAGATAAGTAATTGGCATTGGAAAATATGTTATGAATTCCCGGAATAAGCGCAAACTACTGAAACTCAAACTTTCGAAAAAAATTTGAAGTCGTTGCATTGCCCTGCAAGTGATAAGCCACTTAGAATCTGCATGTATAGTAGGGCATATTGATTATACATCGTTTTTATTCCACCATCCAATAGTTTCTTTGCCGTGTGGCCAATTTTGTCATGACAAACGAGGAGAACTTCATCGGAAAAATGAAAAGGCAATGCCTCCTGTCTTACAATACTGTGTAAAGATGCGGAGTATATTTTGAGGAGTATCTGGATATCTTCTCTACCTTGTGGAAGATTTCTTTTTGTTTTGTGTGTTGAGACCTTGTAAAAAAGGTTAACAACCAGTTTTGAAATGCTGGCATTATTGAAAGAAGTTTCTATATTGATGCATGACGTTTATGGAGTTTGTATGCTAATTTTGCTAATCTTCCCGGTCTGAATGCGTATGATTTTTATGAAATTATCATATTTTTCTCGTTATTGCTAAATGATAGCTGGTATCTGATTGCTTTTCCAGTAACATTTATTCAGCAAGTTCTATTACAGAGAGTAAGCCGTTTTTATTCTCTTTTGGATAATACTTAGAAAAGTAAACAGACAACATCCAGTTAGATTTTGCAAAATATCACGTAATTTTGCTTAAAAAGTTTGAAATGTACTTTTTAGACTTATTAAGGAATACAATTAAAAATGGTTCTTGATTTTGGCCAACAGACATATGATTCCAATTTTTGTAATGTTTTGAAAAATATATTCGGAAATCTATTTGTTTGAAGATGAATTTTACAACATTTGTAAAAAGAAATGTGTGGTTTGTGAATGAAGCAAGATGTAAATAATATCCCCAACTCGATTTTGAAAAGAAAACCTGACATTCCATTCATTTTTCGCGTTTTTGGTAAAATGTTAAAAATATGTCAAATAAACAGAACGACTTGTTGCATTTGTTTTCATTTATCCTGACATTATTGTCCATAAGGTAGAGGTGTATTTTCTGACAAAACCTACCCTACCTTATATAATTGTACCATGTAAAGACCTCTTATTTATTTTATAGTACGTTTACATTGTAACGGATGTATTGAAACCTGCAGATCTTAATTGTCAATGCCATTACAAATTACACGACAACTTCCAAAAGTTATACAAACAAACAAAGTAATGTACACTGGGTAGTGACGGTGATATAAAACTCAGATCATGCAGTTAAAAAATCCCCTAATGTGGGGGACAAATGAAAACATTTACGTAGATTTATTAGTAATTTTATTAGACGGAGGTGGGACTTTTAGCAAATTAAATTTCAACAAAATCAAATAAAATAAGCAAAGCATGGGTAATAATTATAGCTCAATATTTATTTTATTATTATTTAAAATGCTAGAATAAGCTTATCAACAGATAGTCTCAGCGCTAGTTCATTTAACCGTAAAGTTCATCCAGTGGTGCGAAAGGAAGGAGTCTGTGTGTGTGTGCAGCATAGAGATGTCGATTTTGATTGAATCGATTTCTCTAGTGTTTCATGTCTCAATGCATTGGATTCTCGTATCACTAAACAGCTCTAATATGGCGTTTTTGGGATTGTAAAAAATTGTTGATTTATTTCTATCATAATTGGGCATGAATAGATGCCATTTTATATATTTTTTTAATATCCGGGTCCTATACATCAAAATCGACAGCTCTATTGAAATAGTACATGTATATGTCGTTTATTGGTTTGTGTGTGTATTTGTTTTTGTGTATCTTTCAGTATTAATATTTCTCATCTCACATGTCGAAATGTTTCCCACCGCTAAGTATTGATTTGGTTTTGAATATTTAGTTAATATTCATCGTTTGCCCCGACAATACTGAGAATATTTAATAACATCATCTGACGGTCGGCCAACGATCTCAATTTTCATTTTCAATATGAAGCGCTATTCGATCATATTGTGCTTTACTATTATCCACTGTTTGTGGTCTCATGTTCAGGCCGATGGATTGGTAGAGGTGTTTAAATGGAAACAAATGGACTTTTACAATCGAGGAAATAATCCTCAGCTAACAACTGAAACAACAAAGCCCTCAATTATTAGAGATTCAGGTAAGTTAAATAAACATAGTGGCAATGCAACATTATAGTACGTTAACATTGTACCAGATTTCCTTAAACCAGTGGGTTCAAATTGTCATTTCCATTGTAAATATTTGAAATAAATCCTCATAAAGCGGGTTAACCCGGTAAAAAGTTGTAATGTAAATGAAGTTTTATTGTGATGTTTGTTTACATATAAAAATAACCTTAAAAAGTATAAAAAGTACAATGTGAGTGTCTTCTTAGCACTCAAGGAAGGGCTTTAGTTCGCTGGGCGAACTTGCGATAACCTATAACCAACCATGTTTATTTATTATGATGTAACTTAAATTATTTGTATTTCCTCCAAACTAATTGCTCCCAAGAATTTTATTTTAAATTCAAAATCTCATTTTTTGTTAACGAAATACAATCACGACAATTCATTGATAAATGTTGGCAAGTTTTGAATGGGCAATTGAAAAAACTAAAAGACAGAAGTCACCGATGTTGACTTTTTATGGGATATTATTGTTATTTTCAAATATTCAAGGTCAGTTTTCAGTTTTTTCGTAAAGTAATTATATATATTATTCTTCTGTTGTTATTGTCATATTTATCAAATTTATTCGATAAGAAGCATGGCATTATTTTAGAATACAGCCATTCCCATTTGGTAAATCTATGATGGCAAACCCTTTTTATATGACAAATCATGTTTTTTTTAATGACCCATCAGGGAAGTTTGGTGCGCATACATATAGTACGTTTACGTTGTACCGGATTTCGTAAATCCAGTGGGCTTCTTTTGATATTGTCATATTTATCAAATTTATTCGATAAGAAGCATGACATTATTTTAGAATACAGTCATTCCCATTTGGTAGATCTATGATGGCAAACCCTTTTTATATATGACAAATCATGTTTTTTTTTAATGACCCATCAGGGAAGTTTGGTGCGCATACATATAGTACGTTTACGTTGTACCGGATTTCGTAAATCCAGTGGGTTTCAATTGTCAATTCCATTATATACATGTCAAATTTATTCGATAAGAAGCATGGCATTATTTTAGAATACAGCCATTCCCATTTGGTAAATCTATGATGGCAAACCCTTTTTATATGACAAATCATGTTTTTTTTAATGACCCATCAGGGAAGTTTGGTGTGCATACATATAGTACGTTTACGTTGTAACGGATTTCGTAAATCCAGTGGGTTTCAATTGTCAATTCCATTATATACATGTCAAATAAATTCTCATAGAGTAGGTTAACGTGGTAAAAAGTTCTAATGTAAATGCCGTATTACTTAGCTGGCTTGTGGCAGAACTTTCGTTCCATAAGCGGAGCTTGAAAAATATTTCCAGGGACGTCGGTCTTTTGTGCAGTTCTTGAAATTTGAAAGACCATGTACGGCAATGTTGTCTTCACTTGATTTTTCCATCTAATTCGTGGCCTTGCCCTTCTACGTGAACCATCAGCTGGTTCGCTTTTATATACCTTTTGGGCTGGGGCATCTTCATCCATTCTCACAACATGGCCTAGGCAACGTAGTCGCTGCAATGCCGGTGTCAGAGAATAGCTGGTACAACTCATGGTTCATTCGACGGCGATATTCACCGTCAACGCAGATCGGCCCATATATATTTCGGAGAATTTTTCTCTCAAACACTCCAAGAGCTGCCTCATCTGCTTGCGTAAGTACCCATGTTTCAGATTCATATAACAGCACGGGTAGTATTAGCGTCTTGTAGGGTGTGAATTGGTGTGGCGGGAGGTGACCTTGCTTTTGAGTTGCTTACTCAGACTCCGAATTTCTCCGAATTTCAAAACTGATGTCATTCGTTTTATTTATGGCGTTGACTACCTCTTTGACTACCTTGAAGCTGTTCCACAGTTGATCCGGGTCTACTGGACGTCTTGTGCGTTGATACCATCAGTTTGGTCTTCTCGCTGTTTATTGCCAGACCCACTTTGGCAGACTCTTTCTCAATTTGTTCAAAGGTGGCTGTTACCGTTTTCAATGTTAGACCCATTATGTCGATGTCATCGGCGTAGGAATGTAAGATGTGTTGTTTGGTGTACAGAGTTCCATTTCTGTTCGCCTTTGCCTCTTGTATGACCTTTTCGAGCAGGATGTTAAGAAGGTCACACGAAAAACTGTCACCCTGTCTGAATCCTCGTTCGGTATTAAAGGGTTCCGAGAGGTCCATTCCGACTTTAATTGCTGATCTTGTGCCAGTTAAAGTTATCCTGCATAGTCGAATTAATTTTGCAGGAATGCCAAACGCCGACATGGATTTAAACACCTCTGAACGTATAGGGCTGTCGAATAGGTGTGTCGATGTGTTTTTCGCGGGTCTTTTCCAGGATTCGACGCAGAGTGAAAATCTGGTCAATGGTGGATTTGCCAGGTCTGAAGCCGCATTGGTATGGTTCAATAATGACATTGACCATTGGCTTAAGTTGTTCATACTGCACGCTGAATAGCATTTTATATGCGATGAGAAGGAGACTTATTCCTCCACAGAGCACGCGACACAGAATTCTGAGGTTCCAATCATTCTTTAAAATTTCTTTGTTAAATTTCAATTTACCAAATCTGCAGATTCGCACTTCGCTGGAATTGTCATTTATTTTTGTATGGTAAATGAAGCAAAATTGTGCCGGTTTTAGGAAATAAATGACGGAAAAGCCCTAAATCCTGATTTTTATACCCTTCACTACACTGTGGTACAGGGTATTATGACCTTGTGCATATGTTTGTAACAGGCAAAAATAATCGAGGTAGACCCATTGTTTCTTTTGAGAATATGCATAGAATCACTTTCTGAGTCGATTTATGCATGTCCGTCCGTCCGTCTGTCCATGTTAAATGGTAAACAATGTACAGGTCGCATTTATGATCCGAATTGGATGAAATTTGGCACAGTTCATTTGTTTGGCCCAATGACGAACCCTATTAAAATTGGGAAAAATCGGTTCAGATTTAGATATAGCTCCCATATATATTTTCGTCCGATTTAAGGTAAATGGTGTACCAAAGTCCCTATATAGCTTTCGATTTGCACGAAATTTGGCACAGCGTAATGAATAAGGTCTATAATTATGTCTGCCAAGTTTCGTGAAAATCGGTTCAGATTTAGATATAGCTCCCATATATATCTTCGTCCGATTTAAAGTAAATTGTGTACCAAAATCCCTATATATCTTTCGATTTGCACGAAATTTGGCATAGCGTACTAAATTAAGTATAGAATGATGTGTGCAAAGTTTCGTGAAAATCGGTTCAGATTTAGATATAGCTCCCATATATATTTTCATCCGATTTTAGGTAATTGGTACACCTAAGTCTCTGAAAATCATTCGATTTGCACGAAATTTGTCATAGCGTACTCAATTAAGGCTAGAATGACATATGCTAAGTTTCGTGAAAATCGGTTCAGATTTAGATATTGCTCCCATATATATTTTCGTCCGATTTTATGTAATTGGTGCACCAAAGTCCCTATGTATCTTTCGATTTGCACGAATTTTGGTATAGGGTACTGAATTAAGTCTAGAATGATGTTGCTAAGCTTCGTGAAAAGATCCATAACTAGACCGATTGACACAACGCACTGAAATAATAATAATTAGTCTCTGGCAAGTTTCCCTAAAATCGGCTCAGATATAGATATATAACAAAAACGCATCGTCTGTTAGGATACATATGTAGAATATACCCAAAGTGGTGAAGGATATCATATAGTCGGCCCAGTCCGACTTTACTACTTTCCTTACTGGTTCTATTGTATGTAAATGGGCTTTAACTTGTTTCTTAGATATACATTTCTATGATATACACCAGAACACAAAACATATGAACTCTCAAACCAATATGCATCACACTTTATTTATTTTCAGGAATTATTTATTTCCCCGGCCAATATCATGGCTTCAGAAGCAGACGTCAAGCTGGCAACTACAATACTGAACAATCATACATACCATATAATAATGTTCCAATGGGAGCAACGCATTACAAGGGACGTCTTTTTGTTACAATGCCACGCAGAAGAGTGGGAATACCGTCTACTTTAAACTACATCGATATGAATGCCGATGGTGATATAAAAAGTCCAAAACTAAGGGCATATCCCGATTTTGAGACAAATCAATTTATGGTAACAGTTTGTTACAGATAACATCAACATTAGTACTCTAACCATTAGTATATGAATATATATTTTCCAGGGCAAATCGGGTAATTTGGTTTCAGTTTATCGTACCACTGTTGATTCTTGTGGACGATTTTGGTTTATTGATACAGGAATGTTGGAATACCCAAGTGAGTGAATGGCAATTATTTTATTACAATATATTTTTCGCGTCAAACTATATATTGCCTTTTTATTGTTAGATAACCGTATGCAAGTGCAAAAGCCTTCAATTTGGATAATGGATTTGAAAACTGATCGCGTCATTCGCCGTTACGAAATTCCTGAATCCATAGTGACAGAAGGTCGGGGTCTTGCCAGTATAACCGTTGATACAGATAAAGGATGCGATAAGACATTTGCCTATGTACCAGATTTGGTAAACAGTCAATTGTATGTTTACAGGTAAGAAATTATATAGTACACAATATACCGTATAAGGGAACTTCAATTAACATGACCGTTTTTCTACTTTCTGATGGACTTTTTAAAATGCATAGCTTGAAGTTGATGTGCTTTGCACATCTAAAAATGGGTTTACATATAACATATAATCATGATTAAAGGCCGAAACAGGAACCGCTCGATTACTGTATTTATTATCATGTGCGAACCAAAAAAATCAGCTGTTTTGTTTGTTTGGCAAATGTAGATACAATTCTGACAGCACATATGACAATACTATTTTTACAAACAAACAAAACATTGCAGGACAATTACAATGTCCCGATGTTTTAAACGGCTTTCACATTAGAAAATTTTATGGATTAACCCATGGTACAATAATACAAGGTAGGGCAGCTTGAGGAGAATAACAAAAAAGCAACTATGTACGTGTGGCTTCTTCTGCCAAAAATAAAACGCGAAAAATGAATGAAAGGTTATGATTTCTTCCCAAAATCCAGTAGGGAATACCATCAAATGTTTGTTTCATCCTTATCAAAGTAATTACTTCCAGACGAACATGTTAAAAACATAATTTTCATTTCAATTAAATTTGAATATGTTTCAATTTATTTTGAATTTATTTGATTTGATTTGATGGAACAAGCCACCTTAAGAAAAAATTGTAATCAGTTGGTAGCTGTGCCCTACCTTGTAATAATTATACCATGGATTAACCTACTTTATGAGGATTTATTTGACATATATGCAAAGGAATTGGCAATTGAAACCCACTGGGTTAACGAAATCCGATAATAAATGTAAACATACTATTACATGGCATAATTATGCAATGCAGACCATGATATAATTAAACAAGGTAGTCTCATGCAGGTATATAATTCCAACTTTTTCATAATTTTACTCAACATTCAGACAACATTCAGCTTTTAAAATTTAAATGAGATTTAGATGAAATTAAAATCGAGATGTACGCACAACACATGTTCAGTGGCAAGCCTCTATGATCTATAAATATAATTTGTACCATCTGTAGATATAGCTGAAGAACAATGTGGATCAAAAAATGCAACTATTTATTGCATTGAATTTTATTGACCGTAAGTCCGGATCAAAAATAAGTATGTATGTACATAGCATGTATATTTATATGCAATTATGAAGAAGAAGAAGAATCTCTCTTACTCTCACAAAAGAACTTACTGAGTAATTTTTACTGGAAAAGTACGTAAACATAACTATTATTTAAAATTAATATATGGGTTACAAATTAAAAGGGTTGCCGTCATCAATTTCTAAAATGAGACTAACTTCCATAATTATGCAATGGTATACAAAAACGGCATTTACATTAAAACATTTACCTGGTTCACCTACTTTATGAGGACTTATTTAGCATATATACAATGGAATTGACAATTTAAACTCTCTATAACAAACATCAGCAGATTGATATTTGAATAATAATTAAAGGTATGTGTAAACATTTAAAGTGTGTTTAGACTTACAAAATTCACTCGATGGAAAATGTCAACTCAGCAGCGTATAAGTCAAATAATGTCCACTCGATTTGTGAACAGAATTAACGTGACGTATGCGCTATGAAATTGACGTTTGAAATCAAGTGGATTTAGTAGTCTGGAGTGAATGTACTTCTGGATTTCTTAATCGATTGGATTTAAAATCATATATGTAAAGGTAGTTTTATTTGAGAAATTAATAATTGTAATTCATTTTAATTTGTAATATTATATTAATTTCAAATATGTAATTCGTTTTATGGAATTACTTTAGTATAGGGCATCCATACGTCTTCAGAAGCGTTTAGATTATGCCTTTTCAATTGACCCGATTTCCAAATCGAGATACTATATACTAAAAGTACGTTTCGATTTACGATATCCACCAGTTTAAACGTGCTTTAACTGTTTAGAGTAGTATTAAAATGATATAAAGTTGATAGCCAGCTGTTATTGGTTTACGTCATGGCCTATATAAGATCAGGTACATGATGCAATAATAAGGTGATATATCAAAACAAAAACCTTTGTTTTTGTCAAAATTTTCCTCATAATATTTCTCATGATTGGCACATTGCACATCGAATTCAAGTAGAAATTATGAACTTTGACAGCTAATCAAGTCATCAGCTAAATGGACTACTTATTTATTGTGCCATGGTGTCAGGTCAGGTAAATAGAGAAAATACGCATATATTTCATGTATACGATATGGAAGTGACATTTGAGATCGAGTGGATTTCGTAAACCTAAATGCACTTTAATCCTTTTTTGTTTCATAATTAATAAAAACAATACAATTTTACGCCATAATCTTCCAAAATCCGAAAAATCCACAAAGCCAGAAAAATTACATTTTTCGTTTGCTTCAAAAATGTTTCTATTTTTTTTTCATTTGATAAGAATATACAATTTGCATATTATTCGTAGATCTCAAAATATATATAAATATATTGTCTCACCTTGTGCAGGTCATGGTTTACGTTTCATTTCACTTTCGGTGTCAAAAGCAGGGTTGTATGGAAATTATCTCGATTTGTTCGAAATCCTAGCAAATCGAAATATATTCAGTGGATTTTATTGTTCTGGTAAATTGTGAAAAATTATGCTCGGTTTAGCAAAAAAAATTGAGACAATATACATTATCACCATAAAAGCTATAGTCTAAACGCACTTTTCTCGAATTCTATTACTCTGCCTAATTTTCTATTTTTGTAATATTTTCATTTATTGCATATTACAGTTACGAACAAAATGGAATGTGGAGTTTCCAACACAACTATTTCAGCTTTGATCCTATTGCTGGCGATTTAAATATCGGTGGTCAAGTTTTCAGTTGGGATGATGGAATATTTTCCGTCGTTCTTGCACCCAAAAACAATGACGGTTCTCGCAATGTACTATTTCACGCAATGGCTAGTTTCAATGAATTTTTCGTTTCCAATGAGATTTTGCAAGACCAAAACAACACTCAACGTCCCGAAGCTAATAGAGAATTCCACCTATTAGGCAGCCGTGGACCTAAAAGCCAGTCAACAATGCATGAGTATGATCCGCGTACAGGTGTTGTATTTTACGCTGAAATACAACGCAATGGTGTAGGATGTTGGAGTTATAAGAAACCTTTCACTCCTTCAAATCATGGAACTGTGGCTCAAGATGAACAACGCATGATTTATCCTAGCGATTTAACGGTAATTTTCTACGATTTTAATACTACATAATACGATAACAAACGAATTAACCATATTAACATTATTTTTGTTTATTAATTTGTTTTATTGCAACATTATATCATTATTTAACATTAATTTGTATTTGACTACTTCTACAGATCGACGAGGATGGCACCTTGTGGGTAATGACAAATTCAATGCCTATATTCATTTATTCCACATTGGACCCCAATGTTTACAATTTCCGTGTTTGGAAGCAAAGTACCGATGTGGCAATTCGCAATACTGCATGCGCCTAGACTTGATTAAAAGTCTTTTGAAGTTTATAACAACAATTGAGATTAACTTGAATAATTTTAAACTGAGTTTTAACAATTTTTATAGAAATTAAAAATAAAAATCTGTCGAATTTCTATTTTATTTATTTCTTTATTTTTCACAACATTTGAATACGTATGTTTCATTTTATTGAACTTTCGAGATGTCCAATATGATAATTTGTCGAGTTGTGCCATGTTTTGACTAGGACTAATTGTATATTCAATATTTCTCCTATTAAGCAGCACGATCTGCTGCTTGATGCCTTAGAACAAAATAGGCCCAAATTGTTCAAGAAACTCCAGGTAAAGGACAATGAAATAAATGAATTTTGTTTCATTGTATTATTATTTATTATAATTTTTCCAATAAATTTTACTCAATATTTTTTCCTATTTGAATCCTAAATTTCATTGCTTTCATTTCAAATCCTCATACACACAGTAAGTTATCAGTATAGAACCTCCTCTCTCTCTCTCATTTGGCTCCCTTTTACTGGAATTTGGAGAAAACAGACAACATCCAGTAGCATTTGGTAACAATTGTTATAATACATTTACATCAACATTACTCAGTAAGTTCCATTTCAGAGAGTTTATTCTCTATTGCAATAAAACAGACAACATCCAGTAAGATTTAGCAAAATATTCCGTAGTTTCACTTAAATTGCTTAAAATGTATTTTGTTTATATCAAAAAAGAATTAGTGCAATTATACAAATGCCTCGAAGTGGGAGATTGCGATTCGAATTGCAGAAGGCGTTGGCGAGGAAAATGATAAATCGGAACGTGTTTATGTACGCTATTATCAGAGGGTGATTATTGTATTATTGCTGCAAGAATTAATATTATATTTTCCATCATTTTTGTGGAATATTTGGGAAGGAGAGCGATTAAAGGAGTTATGTTCGGAAATTGGAAATGCAATTCTGCCCGAAGACGTTTATGCGAACAAAAAGAAAACGTTGGTTCGTTACTTCTCAGCCGATTACAAAGATGTTCATTTCTGCTATGTGGCTCGTTATATATTATGCGAATCTTTGAATTTTGTCATCAGTGTAGTTAATATGATTGCTTTGGACACATTTCTGAATGGCTTTTGGAGAAAATATATTGAGGCTCTGGCTGCGATACCATACTACGATTGGAAACATTGAAATGCCATGATCACTCAAGTATTCCCTAAAATAGCCAAATGTCATTTGGGAACATATGGTCCATCTGGATCCATGAACACATGGAACGTTTTATGCATTTTGCCACTGAACATATTGAACGAGAAGATATTTGCATTTTTCTGGTGTTGATTTATGTTTATATGTATAATTTGATTTATTGATTTGTTATGATATACAATCCTCCGTTTCGTATGCATTTGCTGGATTCTCGAGCTCGTTTTCTGCCACTTTCATGCATTAGAAATGTCATAAGCGACTTGTCTTTTGGCGATTGGTTTGTTCTTTGCTAAGTTAGCCGTAATGTAGGTTAGGGCTAGGTTTGGGGATGTGCAGTCACTTATGAGGCTGCAGCACTCTGAGACCGTTAGGTCCGTTGTGATCATCCACGAAAGAAAAGAGATAAGGACAGATCTATAGGAGAGAGAAGATTGGAGAAATAAAGAGAGATGAGAAGCTTACAGAAAGATATAAAAAAGGTAAGATTGGAATAAGGTCGATGGCTATAGAAATCAGGCAGAAGATGTATTACGTGTCAAGGTTGCACTTTCCTAACCACATTAGGTTTTTAATTATGCTGTAGATTAGAGCAGGTTCGGTTGTTGAGAAGAAGCTAAGACTCGGTAAAAAAATGAGCACCCACAAGTCTGTGCCGCCTGTAAGCCAGGGTTGACAGTGACACTGAATATGCTCAATTGTCTCCGTCTCCTCCTCGTCAACGCAGAGTCTATAGTAATCAATCGCATCAAGATCCCATTTACTAGTAAAAGCCCTGATATTGCAGTGACCAGTAATGATTCCTGTCATTACTCTTATTTCAGCTTTGCTCAGGTTCAACAGTGAGTGCGTTCTTTTGGTAGACAGAGTTGCCAAATGGATCTTGACACGTTGCACATAGGTTCGTTGTGCCAAAGTTCACAGGCTCTTTCGTCGAAGAATGCCTCAAAGTTCCGTCGTTCGTCGTCTCTTTCATTACCCAAGATGTCACAATGTCCTGGTACCCAACACAACCGATAGCTGTAAGTAAGTTCTTCCAAACTTCCAGAGGAGGTTGATGTCTTCTCTGTACTAAGCTGTTTCTCCGCCGTTTGTTGTCCAGCGACAGCCGCATGTGAGGTAGAAGGATCTGCCCGACGTGAAGTCATCATCTTCTTGGGTGAGGGTTGCGGACCTTCTGAAGAGCGGATGCACTTCACAGATTTGCTCTGTGGGGCGACATTTGCTCCCCCCGGAGACGATGGTTCCTTGCCTGACTTTCCCTTCTTCCTGTTTCGACCACTAGTGGATCCACCCAAAGCTTTAGCATCACTTTTGTCGCTAGGTGCAGAATCGGGCTTTGAGAAAGAGCCCTCCACACGTTGATCACCCTGAAGTCGGTCGGTCAACAGGGTCTGCGCTTCCTTCGTTACTACTACAGCTATCCCCCTATGTAGGCATGGCTGGGATCACCGTGGTGTCCAGTTCATCATCAGTTAGGGTAAGATTTAGTAGCAGTTCCTCCGGAAGCGTATCCCCAACATTGCTCTTCCGGTACCAATCTGTCTAACTGGTCGAAAAGTTCCTTACTTTCTCATCTAGACTATCGCGGATAGCGCTTAGAGTCCCGTGTAGGTCGTCCCCTCCAAGAACTACAGTGCTGTCAGCCAGAGACTGATTATCAGTCAGTCTTGACATGCGCATTTGCCAAAGGTATAGCCGGTTCGTCAACGTTTTGGTATTAAATTGATGCACTTGTAACATATGCACTCCAACAGTCGGATCACAATCGTTTGATCTCGACGACACGATTGCCGCCGGTACTGGGTTATTAATTCCCTGCACCGTAACATTATTCTTTTTACTTCTTTTACCCATCTTTTACCCCCCGATCCATTTTGGTCCACGGGGGATCCGAAGATCCCCAAGGTTTCCACGAAGTGCAGAGAAAAGTTGATCTAGGAGACTTAGGTCAGTTTCACTCCGCACATCATGGGGAACCCCTTCCCATCCACCAATCGGAAAGACGCGCCTAGTAGAAGATTGGCAACTCCCCTAGGCGTAATGTAAATCCAGCCATGTTTCGTGATCTAATGCAAGATCTATACGTGTAATACAATCCAAAAAAGTCAATAGACTTGACGATTTAATTACTTCACAACTATTTTTATACTTATGGTATATTTGTAGAGACTTTTTGTAAAAGTATAAATGAAATGTTCTTTTTTGAATTTATTATAAACTGAAAACCAAAGTATTGTATTTTTTAAATATGCGCTATGCTTGAGATGATACTCATTCTGTGCGTAAAAATACCATTGCTGGGTATAACCATGGTATAATTATTACAAGGTAGGGCACTGCTACCAACTGATTATAATTTTTTCTCAAGGTGGCTTGTTCAATCAAATCAAAATACATATTTTGGGTATGTGTGTATTGTTTTGAATACAATATCAAATAAATTCAAAATAAATTGAAATATATTCAAGTTTAATTGAAATGAAAATAAAGTTTTTAACACGTTCGTCTGGAAGTAATTTTGTGTTGAAAAAATGTCAAATAAACACAAACACTTGTTGCGTATATTTATTTTATTTTTGTATTATTGTACCATGGGTATAACTTTAAATTTAAATACAATATCAATATTTTTTCGTTAATAGGATTAAACTATTTTGAATATTTAAAAAAAAACAAAAACACAAAATTTTATATAAAAAAATACACAGATTACAAATGAATGTCCGGCATACGAAAAACATACAATTATTTATTGAGGCTTATAGACCGGATTTCGTTAACCCAGTGGGTTTCAATTGTCAATTCCTTTGCATATATGTCAAATAAATCCTAATAAAGTATGTTAACCAGGTAAAAAGTTCTAATGTATATGTCGTTTTATTAAAATATATTCAGCATTTGGTTTGCTCCCGTACAGCAAGAATTTCGTTATCGTAGTAAAAAGAAGTGGATTCTTGCAGTACTGGAACCGACCAATCGTAAATTAAAAGAAAAAACTAGGATATTTTTGGCAAAAATTAGTTTGGCACAAGTCAAGGTAGATATACAAGGTAGCCGCATCGGCGAATTTCTACAACAAACATCGGTTGTTGTATTTTGATATGTCAAAAATATTTTGCCAAAACAAACAGATTGACAATATTTTTTACACAAATTCTTGTAGAAAATGTTAATAAAATAATTGCCAAAAAACTCTTCGAAATTCGGAGATTTTCATTTATAATTTTGTTTTTTAATTTTTGGTTCAACATTACAACAACATTTTTGACATTTATTTGCACCAACAGCTGGGCCGATGCGGCTACCTTATTAACACTAGAAAGACGGGAATTTTGTATATACCTATATTGCCTAAAATCGGTCAAAATGACCTCATTCTGAAAGAATTTTTATTGTGTAACGAAATTTTTTTTAACTTATTTTTTAATATTTTTTACATTATTTACAATCATACAAAACGTTGTTATAATTTGTTTTCGGTGGGAGGGCCCTCGAGTTTCCCATTTCAAAAAATAAACGTCCGGACAAAATGTTCGAAAAAGAGGAAGTCTTTACTCTAAGTGTGAAATCGACTGGAAATATAAAATTTATTTTTCCCGATTTGTGTGTTCGTTTGTGTTTCTAGAGTAGCAAACGGATTTCGATGTTGTTGTACCGATGTGGTCATATAAGAAATTTACTTTATACAGTAATAAAAGTAGTTTGATTATTTAATATTTCAAAAAGGTCAAAATGACCGTTTTTAGGCTATTTAGGTATAGCACATGTGAATACGGGGAATGAAAGAGGGGAGGAAGCAGCTACTAT